AAGACTGTTACGATTCAAATAACCGAGAGTGAAAGAGAAAATCTGAACTCGATTGAAAATCATATTTGATTGATGGGATCCGATCAGAGTTTAGACTGAATAAACCGCAGGGGAAAAATGATTTCTTAAGAAAAAGAAAAAAAATCTTTGAAATATAACTTCCTAAAATCCAAGCCAAACCTATCCCAACAAAGATTGCTTATCGCTTAATAAACAGTATTGTCATTGCTTTAATTTATTTTTCTCTCGTCGTCAGTCTAAAACAGGGTTTTCCAAATATGGCGATATTGCCCACCGGTGGGCGATTTAAACTGTTGGATGGGCAATGAGCATCTGAACAGAAATTTTGTTGGGCGATGTAGGATTTTGAGTATTAAAAAGATATTTCAGCATATGCTACCCGAAAAAAATATTCAAAGCGATATGCAAGGAACATGTATTCAAAAACAAAACACCTAAAAGACACGTGTTTAAATGGGAATAACTTAGTCACATTCTTAGATAAGATATAAATATCCCCTCAAACAAGGAATATTTTGGTATTTTCTAAAATTTGGGGAAGAGCCATTCATATTCAAATAGTTCTTCAGATAAAATATTTCTTATCGTATATTCTGTGTATAGTTCAACCCCCTATTTTTTGCTGATCATAAAAACTCACATTATACTCAAGTATATACGTTAAGGAAAAAAGAAAAAGATAAAACTTATTAAAAGCTACAAAGGGTAAGAAGTTGTGGAGAGCCATGATCACCCATGTCCTTTCAGGTCATGGTACATAGAAGAAGAAGAGAACATGTATAAGTCAGAACATTCCTGTAAGCCAGGGTTTCCCAAACTTGGCGATATCGCCACCGGTGGACGATTTCAACTGTTGGGTGGTGATTGAGCAATTGCATAAAAAATGGTGTGCGATTAGAAATTATGGTGGGGGATATAGGATTTTGAGTATTATAAAAGTATTTCAAAATATGCTACCCGAGAAAAATATTCAAAGACGATATGCAAAGGACATGTATTAAATAAAAAAAAAACTAAAAAAAAAAAAACTAAAAAAAGACACATGCGGCTAAATGAGAATAAGTGGGTCACAATCCTAAATAAGATACAAATATCCCCGAAGACAAGGAATATTTTGCTATTTTCTATAGTTTTGAGAAAGGCCATTCAAATTCAAATAGTTCTTCAGACAAAATATTATCGGATATTCTGTGTATAATGCAACCCCCTATTTTTTGCTGATCATACAAACTGACATTATACTCAAGTATATACTGTAAGGAAAAAGAAAAAGATAAAACTTATTACAAGTTACAAAGTTTAAGAAGTTGTGGAGAGCCATAATCACCCAGGTGCCTTCAAGATATGATACATACAAGATGAGTATTTTTTTTACCTGTATAAAATAGAACATTCCTGTAAGCCAGGGTTTCCAAAGTTGGTGATATTGCCCACCGGTGGGCGATTTAAACTGTTGGATAAGTGATATAGGATTTTGAGCATTAAAAAAGTATTTCATCATATATTACATAAAGATAAAATACAACAGGAGGTTAAATGGGAATAAGTGGGTGACATTCCCAAATAAAATATAAATATCCCCGCAAACAATGAATATTTCGGCGCTTCCTATAGTTTTGAGAAGGTCATTAACATTGAAATAGAGCTTCAGATGTAATTCAAGAGGAGTAGATAGGTTTTCCAACCGACCGGTTCACACTCCTCCCCTGTCTTTTGAACAGGAGTTGAGGTTTATCCCTTGTTTCCTGTTTAGGATTGGGTTTCCGGTTCCTTCTTAAGTCTACCTTAACTCTATACTTCTGACATCACCACCTGAACCCTGAAATTTTATCCACTAGTTAAATCTTGACATCTTCAAGTCTAGAATTAGCTATCCTGTTATTTTGCCTTTTCTTACGCTAATACAACTCCACGCGGTAACCCTCTTCCTTGACTGGCTCTTGGGTCTTGCATTGGATGAAGATTAGTTTAAAAAAAAAAAAAAACAATATTAATGTATTTGTTTCTCCATCTAGGTATTCGACATAGGGTAATGGTTAATGAGCCTACCTGGTTGGCCATTATTACTGAGTAGTGATTCTTATCCCCACTGGGTGCACCAGATGTAAGTTCGGTACCAAGAGGCGCAGCTGACAAGTAAAATCTGTGAACGCTTCAAACACACTCGCCTTGAGCCAGACTAGCTACATTTCAGATTCAAATAGACGGACCGGGACGGTTATTAATTCTTTCATTTTTGAAGAATAATCCTCCCCTAGACATCCTTATTCCACTCACCCCTTTTGTTAAATATTCAGGGAACTTTCTGTCAGTCCATTGAATAAACTGCGAGCATTTGAGGAAAAAAATGCGTTTTATTTGACTATTTAATAAAAGGGGAGGCTGGAATAAGGATGTCGCCGGTGGATTCTTCGCAAAAGAAAAATAAATAAAAAAAGATAAGAAAAAAAAATAATAATCGTCATGGTCCGTTTATTTGAAACTCAAATTACTTGGCGCATCTCGCAAGCCTTTAGTAAAAGTTTATTGTGGCATGAGAAAAAAACCTGAGTAAATAGTTTCTTTTCAGCTGGGCGTAGGGTACAAGCCATTAACAGTAAGTTAAAGTTATTTTTTCTATCACACTTCATTATTCTAGCCTTGTGCCAGACTCAGCTAATTTGCATATCTTTACTTTGAGCACTCGTGATTTCTAAATAAGCAAAAACATTTGTCTATATTTCTATAACTATTTACACTATTTTCATCGTTCGGACTGATGTCCTCATCTTTGTCATATTCACGACGTTTCGACAGTTGTAGGTCCTTACCTTCTTCAGGTGATATACGTTGGAATTTCGAACTGAACTTTTTATTTAATCTACGAGGAGTCGGGTTGTAGATTGTTCTAATTCCACGTCGTGCCATGGTAACTGATAAATTAAGTTTATAAGTCCCCGCAATTAACTCACTGCTAAGTAAAAGCCTTTGTTGAACTAATGCAAAAAGTGACCCAAAGAGTTGAGAGTTCAATACCTGGCCACAGCAGACGGAACAAAAACTAAAAGGAAATTAACTGAAACTGAAAGATCCAAAAATTTCATGGCATGTGTAATTAGAAAAATCCATGGACTCAATAAAGGTTTCGGTTCGGAATTCAAATGTATATACCGTGAAGAAGGCCGGAGCATATAACGACCGATAGTTCAGTTGCTAACTGAAACTGAGAAATTCAGAAAAGAAATGGCATGTGGAATTATATTTTTGAGGTATTGTAAATATTTACATTGTTCGGACTGTTGTCCTCATCTTTATTGCCATATTCACAATGTTTCGGCTGTTGTACGCTCCGGACTTCATGGGATATACGATGGAAAAGGCATGTCACGAGGAAATAGAATAATCTACCCCACTGGACGAAATGAAAGATCCGCTTCGAAATTTCAACTAATATTACCTGAAAAAAGTTGGAGCGTACAACGGCCGAAACATGGTGAATCATACTTATTATAAAACCCAGGTTGTGTGTGTGTGTGTGTGTGTACGTTTATATATTGGGTCGGATTTCCTACATTTTTCAACCGATTTCAACAAAACATCACAGGACTACGTAAAATTACCTTGCGGTGGTTCTGACAGCGCCAAAAATTGGAAAAACAATTGTTTTTGCACGAAATCAATTTGAAAAGACGATTAAGAGGCATCGCGAGAATGAAAGGGGGACAACTCATATCGAGTTATACTTATTATAAAACCCAGGTTGTTTGTGTGTGTGTTCGTTTATATATGGGATCGGATTTCCTACATTTTTCAACCGATTTCAACAAAACTTCACTTTTTTTTTGGCAGGTAGTGTTTCTTATTGTCTTGCACACTTTTTTCTTTATTTTTACATTCAGAATGCTTTAAAAAATTCCATTTACAAGACAATTATTTATAATAAAATTCTATTCAATCTCATAACGATTGAAAACAATGTTTTTGTTTGAGTTTGACCAATTCGTAAAAAAAAAAAAAAAAAAAAAAATTAAGACATGCGTGTCCGTCAACCTTAAACAATAATCTTTGTCAATTTTATTTTTCAGTCTTTATGATGGTCGATACTTGATCTATCTCTTACTGTTGCAACGCCGGGCGCTACTGCTAGTATGGCTATAAAGGTGAGCACAATAGCAAATTTACTTACGTGCTAATACCTTTGGGAAAGGTATGAATACTCTTCTTCTCCCAGCTATGGGTAAATAGGAGGACAAACTGGGTTTTATAGCCCTGGGTGTCAACCGGTCTTAGAGAAGGAATATTCAAAACCTGCCTGAGAAGTTTGTGCTCCGGCAGACTATCTTGTCAAAGAAATATCACTGCGGCTGCAGTAGGCATGGTTACCATACGCTAACCATGTCTACTGCAAATAGAAAAGAGTTTAAATAATGATAACGTTTCTTTCAGCTAGATATTTCTGGAGAGTTTTATGTTTATTGGTTGCTCTATTATTTTGATCTTGTGCCAGACTATTTTAATTCACTCAACAGCTACTTTGAGTACTTGTATGCGTGGAAAGTCTTTAAAATCTAAAGAAAGGGAAAAACAACTCAATCTCACTTCCTATCTAGGCCAGTTTTTCAAACAATGTTCTTATCTTTTAATAAACAGATAGAGTCAATGGTGTTTTGGTTTTTTTTTCCAGATTTTGTTAAATTTAAGGTTTTTTGTTATATTTTTAAATGTTTATAGATTTATTGTCTGACTGTAAATAAGTCTTTGTTGATGCAATATCACAGAGAGTATCCATCCACATGTCACATAATTCATCATCTCTTGGATTTGGTAGGCTTAAGATAGGGGCTGAGGCTGGTGTTGAAGATTTAGAGAGAGAAGAAAAAAAGACTGGAAGGGAAAGCGAGAGAAAAATAATTGTTTAAGAAAATGGCGAAACGAAAGAAGGTTTTGGGTTTGTCATTAATTGGACTTTTTCTGCTACTTTTAACCGAAAGGAAAATGTTTTAAAGAAAAGAAAGCGGAGTGGAGTTGGAAGGAAGAATAAAAGAACAGGAAGAGGGGAAAAAGAGGGAAAAATGAAAAGAGAGAAAAGAGAGAGAGAGAGAGGATACAGAGAGAAAAGAGAGAGAGAGAGAGGATACAGAGAGAAAAGAGAGAGAGAGAGAGGATACAGAGAGAAAAGAGAGAGAGAGAGAGGATACAGAGAGAAAAGAGAGAGAGAGAGAGAAAAGGAGAATAAAGAGAGAGAGAGAGAAAAGGAGAATAAAGAGAGAGAGAGAGAAAAGGAGAATAAAGAGAGAGAGAGAGAAAAGGAGAATAAAGAGAGAGAGAGAGAAAAGGAGAATAAAGAGAGAGAGAGAAAAGGAGAATAAAGAGAGAGAGAGAAAAGGAGAATAAAGAGAGAGAGAGAAAAGGAGAATAAAGAGAGAGAGAGAAAAGGAGAATAAAGAGAGAGAGAAAAGGAGAATAAAGAGAGAGAGAAAAGGAGAATAAAGAGAGAGAGAGAGAAAAAGGAGAGAGAGAAAAGGAGAGAGAGAGAAAAGGAGAATAAAGAGAGAGAGAGAAAAGGAGAATAAAGAGAGAGAGAGAGAAAAAGAGAATAAAGAGAGAAAAAGAATAAAGAGAGAGAGAAAAGAATAGAGGGAGAGAGAAAAGAATAGAGAGAGAGAGAAAAGAATAGAGAGAGAGAGAAAAGAATAGAGAGAGAGAGAAAAAGAGAATAAAGAGAGAAAGAGAAAAAGAGAATAAAGAGAGAGAGAGAAAAAGAGAATAAAGAGAGAGAGAGAAAAAGAGAATAAAGAGAGAGAGAAAAAGAGAATAAAGAGAGAGAGAGAAAAAGAGAATAAAGAGAGAGAGAGAAAAAGAGAATAAAGAGAGAGAAAAAGAGAATAAAGAGAGAGAAAAAGAGAATAAAGAGAGAGAAAAAGAGAATAAAGAGAGAGAAAAAGAGAATAAAGAGAGAGAGAAAAAGAATAAAGAGAGAGAGAAAAAGAATAAAGAGAGAGAGAAAAAAAGAGAATAAAGAGAGAGAAAAAGGAAAAAAAAGAGAATAAAGAGAGAGAAAAAGAAAAAAGAGAATAAAGAGATGAGAGAGAGAATAAAGAGATGAGAGAGAGAATAAAGAGATGAGAGAGAGAATAAAGAGATGAGAGAGAGAATAAAGAGATGAGAGAGAGAATAAAGAGATGAGAGAGAGAATAAAGAGAGAAAAGAGAAAAAAGAGAGCGCGAGATAAAAGAAAAGAGAGAGCGAGAGAAAGAGATATGTAGTGAAAATAGCGGAAAAACTAAGAGACAAAATGTTAAAAAAAAAAAAAACCTAAAAAGAGGGGAGAAAAAAGAAAAGGGATGCCAAAGGAAAGAATGCCTGGAGAGAGAGAGATTGGGGGGGGGGGGAGAAAAGAGGCAAAAGAAAAGAAACGCGTCCTTACATCAAAAAAAAAAGAAGAAAAAAAAAAGGGATTTTCTTCTTTTGACAATTAAGATAGAACTGAAAAGATATCTTGCCAAAAATCAACACCCATTTTTTTAAGTGACTTTCTACCAAATTTTATCGCTGTGAGAATTTTAGCACAACACAATTGAAGAATAAATGTAAAAAAAAACTAATCTGCGAATCGTCAGAGAATTTTGATAAAAAGCAACAAAATTAAAAATGAAAGACAAATCGATAATTAATAATAGCCATAAAGTAAAACGTGGGGTTGACAAAAATCAAGGAAATGTGAATGAATTAAAGAACTATTCAACAAATGAATCTTCTGTGCCAGTGGATCTCTTTAAAAAAAAAATTATGAAAGATAAAAGAATTTTAATTAAAAACAGGAAGAATATTATTAAAAACTAGCAGGTTTCGACCGCTCGTTATCTGGGAATTTTTCTAGGAAAAATTAGTTGTTTTTCTATGGGATTAATGTTCTCTATTTATGAAATGTTGAAGGGGCTTTGGACGTCCAATGTATTTGTTCAAAGAATATTACTGTAAAGACAGAAGAAATTAATTGGTCAGGTGTTGGGGCAGACTTGTTATAGTTAAGGAAAGTTTTACAAATAGATGCCAACTTGTTGAAGGCCAAGTAAAATGCACTACATAAGACGATATTCCTAAACACAACTACTTTTGATATAGTATTTACATTAGTCGGACTATTGTCCTCATCTTTGTCGCCATATTTGTCACAACGTTTCGGCCGTTGTACGCTCCGGCCTTCTTCAGGTGGTTGGAATTTCGAACTGAACGCTTTATTTCGATCACTGGGGTAGACTGTTCTAGTTCCACGTGCCATGTTTGGTGGATGTCAGTTATCAGTTATCTCCTGATAATTTTCCCTCTGAAAGTTCTCCACTGCCTTAACCGGGTAGTGAACTCACATTCTTTGGGTCTGTCACTGGATCTAACCAACGCCTTTATCCATTGTGCCATGTGTCCTTAGCCGGAGCGTACAACGGCCGAAACGTTGTGACAAATATGGCGACAAAGATGAGGACAATAGTCCGACTAATGTAAATACTGTACATAATAGCTCATCTCAGAAATATAGACTGGTACTGAAGGGCCGAAACGTTGTGATAAACATGTCAACAAAGATGAGGAAAATAGTCCGAATAATGTTAATAGTGTACATAATACCTAATCTCAGAAATATAGACATACTTTTGATAGAAGAACAGTAATGAAGGACAGTTAATTAATGAAATATACTCTTTTAAAATCAATATGCAAATTAGTTAAACCTGAAAAGTGATATCACCTAGAAGTAGGTAATATATAATACAGATATTGAGCTTAAAGTAGTTTGTAACATGTTAGATTAATTCATATTGTATATACTCAGTGGGGATCTTTTTAATTTGTTGTTTTATTCCCCCCACCCCACATACGACGATTTGTACACATGGGGAGTATTTAGGATTTTCATTGAGACAATGAGGTATTATAGTGGATGTAGTAAGAAAGGCAAGTAAGAATGTGGTGTTTTGGTGTTAGGAATATTGTTTGTATGCTTGGGTCAGTGCTTGTGGCTAGCTAAGTTTAAATTAAGACAGATGAAGACCGTCCTTTTCTCCATCCCCTTTTTTAGGCCTTGTGCCACATTTTCTGTAATTTTACAGAAATAAATATTGTAACATGTTTGGGAATAGTCGACCAGATTGTTCGTTACTCTCTGGCTCGAGCAGAGAGGAATCCGGACGAGGCTTTGTCCGGGGAGGTAGACAGACCCTGAACCCGTTTATGCGGGTTCTAAGGGAATATTTATGACCAAGCTTACGGGCTCGGAGAACCCACGGTAAACTCGGCCTTGTGTCACATACATCCCTCGTGGGGAAGGGCTGTTAAATATTAACATGTTTGTTTATCATCTCTCAGTTACGCCTCTATCTTCGGGCAGAGTGCGCTCAGGGGCGTCTCCGTGGGAGGACCGAGTCGCAACTGATGAAAATCATACTGAGAGGTGCCCAGCCCTGGGGAACAGCCGCCCGATGCTGCGCCCTTTCATTGCAGTAGACAGTGGGATCGATTCACGCACCGAGGCCAGCTCAACCGACGGTTGCAGGGGCTCAGGAAATTTTGTTCCTCGCCCACGTGTACGCGCTCGGGTTCACCACATTAAACCGACCTTGTGTCACAACCTAACCTCGTGGAGGGTTGAGTAAATACAAATTGCTCCCTGGAGTAGTTTGTAACACATTATTTATCATCTCTCAGTTACGTCTCTGGCTTCGGACAGAGTGCGCTCAGGGGCGCCTCCATGGGAGGACAGAGTTGCAAGTGAGAAAAATCATACTGAAAGATGCCCAGCCCTGGGAAACAGCTGCCCGAGGCCGCGCCCTCTCATTGCACCAGAGGGAGGGATCGGTGTTCGCACCGAGGCCAGCGCAACCGATATCTTTTACATTTATTTAAAATCTTTGAACTATAGAAACTACTGCGGCTACAAAGTGAGAGATCAGTTTATACAGGAATTGTAATCTAAAATTGATCCCCCACTTTGTATCCACATTACAATTTTTTGTTTGTTTTTCAGATTCTGCTCAGAATTTTCCTGGGTTTAATTAGTAAGACTTGAATCAGTGAACCATTAATATCTAAAATTCTTACAATCTAAAAAATATTTTCTGGCTTTAAATAACCCGCAATGGGTTGATAATCCGTAAAAACGAATCGATCAAGGAAATACTGGATAGCCATACAACCTTGTCATTTACATTTATTTAAAGTATCTGAAATATAGATATATAGCAATTACTGTGGCTACAAAGTGAGATTACTTTTTTATCAAATTCTGACAAGAATTCTCCTCCAAACTATGGGTTAATTAGTAAGACTAGTATCACTAAACCATTAATATCTCAAAAAATTCTCACAATCTAAAAATATTATCTGGCTTTAAATAACCCGCAAAGGGTTGATAAGCCGTAAAAAACAAATCAATCAATAAATCATGCTAACATCATACTACTGCTTTCTCAAATCAATGGTTAATAATAGCTTCAAAAGGGTGAAGCCTGTAGGTTTCCCACTCCCTCTACTGCAATGGGAGGGCGCAGCCTCGGGTAGCTTTGCCCCAGAGCTGGGCACCTCTCAGTATAATTTTCCTCAGTTGCGATTCTGTTCTCCCACGGAGCCGCAACTGAATTGCGCTCTGGCCAAAGACTTTTTTGGACCTCGTGAAATAAAGGGTACAGGTTAAAATTCCCTAGGGGCCACCCAGATCTGAAGAAGGCTTCAGACTAAAACGACCGAAGAAAACTAAAATGGAGAGAAGAATGGTCAGAATCAAGATAATCGCTATACGCACATATATGGAGTGGAATATCAATTCAGTTTTAAGCGACAATTATGTATTTGTTAACTGACAAGAAGATGAATCTTTACCGTAGCGGACTCGGAAGGGAATGTAATAAAATGATAAAAATCGTGTCACTAGAAATAGATTTTCAGTATACTTTCCTACCCTCGACTTGCTTGTTTTCCTTCTTAGCCCCCAACCGCTGACGACCTCTTCAGCAATTCTTCCTCCTCTACAGCACTTTTCTGACCCTGCCCGGAGCCCACCCAGTGTCCCTGTGACTATTAGTCATCATCTAATGTCGATGCAGTCAAAAATCCAAAGCAGACCTACAAATCTTAGACGTAAGAATGTACACACTGATTCTAGTCGAGCAGAAACTGTCAGAATTGGTTCCCACTTGACTACAAATCTGAGATTTATCATTTATAACTTTCTATATGACAAGAAAAGGAAGGATGAAAAGCGGAAAAGGATGAAAGAAGGAAGGGAAGGAAAAAGATAGGAAAGGATTGAAGACAGAGTAGGCGAGATGGTGAAAAAGAGGAAAAAGGAGGAAAAGAAACGGAAGGAAAGAAAAAGGACGTGAGAAAAAGAGGACATCAAGTAAAAGGATGTAGTGGAAAAGAAGGTGGTTCTGGGAGAAAATAGGAAATGGTTTTAGAGAGAAAGAAGAGCAAAGATAGGGAAGAAGATAGTTAGGGGTAGAAAAGAGTGTGAAGGAAAAAATAAAGGATGTGGAGGAAAAAAAAGGATGCGCAGGAAACGTGGAGGAAAAAGGATTGGGACGTGGAGGAAAAAGGAACGGCACGTGGAGGAAAGAGTAATTGGACGGAGGAAAAAATGGGATGTTGAGGAAAAAATGAGTGAGGGAGAACGATGTAGAAAAAAGAAAGGGGAGGTGAAAAGAAAGACAATGAGAAGAAGAATTATGCGGAGGAATAGGAGGGGGCAAGGAGAAAAAGAAGGAGAATGAAAATTCGGAAGAGGGAAAGAGAAAGAAGGGGAGAAAAGGAATACGAGAAAGAAGGGGAGAAAAGGAAGACGAGAAAGAAAGGGACGAAAAGGAAGACGAGAAAGAAAGGGACGAAAAGGAAGACGAGAAAGAAAGGGACGAAAAGGAAGACGAGAAAGAAAGGGACGAAAAGGAAGACGAAAAGGACGAAAAGGAAGACGAGAAAGAAAGGGACGAAAAGGAAGACGAGAAAGAAAGGGACGAAAAGGAAGACGAGAAAGAAAGGGACAAGAAGGAAGACGAGAAAGAAAGGGACGAAAAGGAAGACGAGAAATTAAGGGACGAAAAGGAAGACGAGAAATTAAGGGACGAAAAGGAAGACGAGAAATTAAGGGGAGAAAAGGAAGACGAGAAATTAAGGGGAGAAAAGGAAGACGAGAAATTAAGGGGAGAAAAGGAAGACGAGAAAGAAGGGGGCGGGAAAAGTGGGGACAGATTTGGAGACTAGAAACTGAGGAGGTGATGAAAAAAAAGGGAAGGTTGGGATCAAAGAGTGGAAAGGGGAGAAGGGAGAATAGGAGATGAGAGGGAAGTTTCAAAAGAAGATTGCCGATGATACAAATGTTATCTTTTGCTCCCCTTAACTGCACTCACTGACATGTAATTCTTTTTATCTTTCAATATTAGCCTTTTATTTATCCTATTTTTTCTGGCGAGTGACAGTCAACATTCCACAATCTTTAGTTCGCACATCAATTCTGGGCAAAAGTAACATCACGACAGAAAAAAAGAATTTCTTCAGTCACCTTATCTAAACAAAATATTTTCTAACCAATCAATATACGAATGCATCTTTTCGAACCAATCAAACGGCGAGAGCAGCTTTTCGAACCAATCCAACGACGAGAGCAGCTTTTCGAACCAATCAAACGGCGAGAGCAGCTTTTCGAACCAATCAAACGGCGAGAGCAGCTTTTCGAACCAATCAAACGACGAGAGCAGCTTTTCGAACCAATCAAACGACGAGAGCAGCTTTTCGAACCAATCAAACGGCGAGAGCAGCTTTTCGAACCAATCCAACGACGAGAGCAGCTTTTCGAACCAATCAAAAAGACGAATGTGTCTTTTCTAATAAATGACATGACCACAATAGTACCAATAGCACGCATGATCGTGACAAATCTAAGGATATATTATGGTGAAAGTTCGGATAATTTTTTATTTGCCCTTGTAGATTGTTTTCGGCCAGTCCTCTTATTTTTTATGACTTACACTAAACCATGGCTAATTACTCCATAACAATTTTTGAAAAAGAACCAGCATGCCAAACACCTTTGAAATATCTAAAACATTTAACATAGATCACCAGTAAGCAAACACAGGCGATTCCATTATTGAATTAAGTAGATCACGGGACTAAAGCGGAAACACACACCCACACACATTATATATATATATATATATATATATATATATATATATATATATATATATATAGGAAACATCGTGACGGCTATCGATCGTATTTACTAGTCTATCCTCTATTACTCTACGGACTGCTATTCTCTATCCACTATACGAATTCTCTTATAGGAATAACTATTCGATAGTTACTTTACGAGCGAGTATTATCGAGCGAGTACTATTACTGCGAATAATATTTGAAGGCGTCGGACACCAGTATTGTTCAACAGCGTTACTGTAATTGCATACTTGGAACTTGTGAGGCGTCTTGTTACTCCAGAACAGAAATTTTGAAGGTTAGACAGGGCGAAGATCAAGTTGAATAAGTTGTAAAATGATCCTGGAATATTATATATATATATATATATATATATATATATATATATATATATATAATTTTTTTTTTTCAATCTTTCATTGAGCTTCCGATCATTAGCTATGATTAATTAATGATGAGCTTGTCATTTTTGTTTATGATCGATTTCATCACGATTCTTCTGTTAAGCTTGCAGAGTAAATATACATTCTTACTGCTCAAAGTAGAGTGCAATAGTATTATAAAACCTCGGAAAATTCCAGTAAGATATCTTTAATCATCTCTAAGATACAATGGTTCCAAGCTTAATCTAACGATTTGGACAATTATGCTGTTACACCCGGTATATATACTCGAAACAGGCGAAATATGTAATGATTTAAAGTATTTAAATTGTTCGTACTGTTGTCCCCATCTTTATTGCCATATTCTCGACGTTTCGGCTGTTGTAAGCTCCGGCCTTCTTCAGGTGATTGAAATTCGTACTGAACCCTCTATTCGTCCACCAGTGTATATTTTTCTAGTTCCACGTGCCATGCCTCTTCCAGATGTCGCAGTTATTTCCCTTTAACTCAACTTTCCAAGTTTTTGTTTATCACTGCAGTAGCCAGGAATTGAACTTACAACTCTTTGGGTCAAGTCAGTGGATCTACCCTAAGCTTTTATCGACTGGGCCATGTTTCCTTGAGGACGTCAGTGTATGAATACCGTCTTTGAGGCATAGAACGTGGAACTAGAACAGTCTACCCCGGTGGATGAAATAAAGGGTTCAATTGGAAATACCAATCACCCGGAGAAGGCCGGAGAGTACAACGGCAGAAACGCTGTGAATATGGCTACAAAGAAGAAGACAAATGTCTGAACAATGTAAATAATTACATTAACTCATTTCCGAAAGATAGCGAAGTAAGTAATTAGGTTTTGTTATTCCCTCCTTAGATGCTTTGCAACAACACTTAGCCATACTTGTTAGCAGCCACTCGCATCCGATCGTCGGGATCATCGTCCTCTCTCCTTAATCTCTTTCTCACATCTTGTGGCGGTGGTGAAGATGGCTGTGAAGGCCCAGCGTACTCCTGGACGCGCTGGGAATTCCTGACAGCACGCCGCAGATCCTATTCACGTTGACGGCTGGACTCGAAAGTCTCGGTCCCCTCTCGGATAGTCGTACACCAGGAAGGCCAACTTGCAGCAACGGTTTCCCAGGTCTCACGGTCGATGTTGGTCTCTGTCAGGGATGTCTTCAACTGATCCTTGAAGCGTCGTTTTGGGCCTCCGCGTAGCCCCACTTGCCGCTGGAGAGTTCTCCAAACAGGACACCACGTGGGAGTCAAATGGGACGTATTCTGGACACCATGACCCACCCAGAGGAGGCGATGTTGGAGGATGGCAGCTTCGATGCTGGAGAGAGAGATGAGGACCTTGTGTTTGGTGATACAGCCCTCCCAACTGATGCGAAGGATACTTCAGATCTTCGTTTGCTGGAACCGTTCTAGACATCTGATGTCCCGACGATACAAAGTCCAGGCCTCGCAAGCCTACAGAATAGTGGAGATGACCACGGCCCGGAAGACAATGATTCTGGTTTTTATGGTGAGGCCGTGATTGCTGACATGAGAACGTCCAATGCTGAAACGCTTTGATCCTGTTGTCAAGGTCTCTCTATCTATCTAGCAGTTGACATTATTCGATTGTAATAATCTTGAATTGTTCTTGCGAAGTGAAACCCTTTTGGATATCACCAAATCGTTCAATGAACTGTCCCACTAAGAGTGACGGGTTGTGGTTAATAGGACAATATACGATTAAATATATAGTGGAAATCATTAAGATCTTAGATCATTCTGAAGAAAAAGTCCGTAACCGAGAGTATCCTGTGAGAATCCGCGAGACTCACACTTGTCGGAGTTAGCTCCTCCTTAATTTCCTACTTGTCACTAGGGGTCGCTCTCCCTACACTATAAATACTGGGCAACTTCTTGCCTCGTTCTCTTTTTCATTTCAGCGAACACATCTACAATGTAAGCTCTCTTAGAAGATAGCTTCTCCCCACGTGTGGGAAGACGCCATGGACATTATACACACATACACGTACGCACGAACATTCACCAAAATAGAAACACAAATCTTCACACACACATAAATGTTAATATCTATGTCCATTGTAAAATTGTGTTGTTTAATATATATATTTGTTGACATATATATCTGTCTTGTTTGTTTTCTTTACATCTTTGGTTGGACTAATTTTGAGTCCGCCATTTTCTTGTTGCTGGACGTTCTTGTAGCAGGAACAAACAGCACGTGTTCCCAATTCAACAACACGTAAAACCCACAGGGTCCTGTACACGATTGATATACAGGGGTCTGAAAATGTAGGTATACAGTTCACCGGATTTAATCCCTATAAAACAGTAAATCTATATAAAAAATCCTCTGACTTCAGTTAGCCTTTCACACCCTCTAAAATAGCCATACATCGACCGATCGAAACCAAATTTTGGCCGATAAACCGGAAAGGGGTGATAAAGTACAATTGATTTTACTACTGTACGTAGCTTACTACAACAAATTTTCATTAATTTTGGGGAAAATTAAGTTTTATTATTTAACATACTATTCCACTATTTTAAAAACAATTTAATGATTAAAATAAATACTTATTTTATAAAAATGCAATATTGTTTTTTCATATCTTTTCTTTAAGTTTTTATATAAATAAAAATCCAGTTGCCAGTTCACCCTGTGTTTGCGGGAACTATCATCAAACCATAAAGTCTAACACTTCAGAAAGTTGGAATTTGACTCCAGATAGAAATATTTAAGCATAGCCAATTTGTTGCACGCTCAAGAGTAAGAAATCCTAAGAATTTATTATTCGTTGTTAAAAACGAAAAAAAAATTTTCTTAAAAAATATTGCTTACCATTAAATCCTATAAAATTAAATCAAATTAAAAAAAAAAGAAAAGAAAAAGAAAACGTGACGTAGGGTTTGTCAAAATATTTTCCAAACAAATCAGCTTCAAATGTCATTGATTGGTTTGCGAATGTGAAACGTAGAGTTTGTAAAACTCGAAAAAGAAAATGTTAGCGATAAATTCAACAATAAATATTAAATACTGTGATTATTTCAACATGCGTTTTGCAAAATTTCTAGTAAACAAATTTCGTGGTTTGCTTGGACGAGGGCAGGAGTAAAGGGGCCGAAAATGTAGGTATACAGTTCGCTGGATACCTTGGACTTCTTTTTCTGTAACTGTGTAAAGGATTGTGTTTTTTTTTATTACTTATAGCTTCTTTTGCATGTATGTAAGAGCGACAAGGAACAACTATTCACCAAGGCTAACAAATTTTACACTTCCTATTAAGCAACACTAAAATACAACAAATTTGATCGTTTGCTTGCAACACAGTCAAGTATTAGTCACGCTTCCATGCCTTGAAAACATATTCTATTATTGAGTAAGTCAATAGTCACATGATGTCTATCTCGCAGAATATGTTTATGTTGAGTCATGAGAACTGCCGGTATTAAATTAGCACTAATAAAAATTGGTGCTTCAGGACTTTCTCCGAGTGCTTGCATAATAAAATAACAGAACAATACAAAGTAACTATAAACATTTTTTTTTTTTTTTGCTATCCTCTGTCAGCCGCAATGATGGAGAAAGCATTACCTCGCATCATCGCCTGTGAGACACGCTGCAAGAGCCACTCCGGTTCGCGAGGTTCGTCCCTTAATCAAGACGCCATCCCGCAAACCTTTCGAAGGTACACCATCGAACGAGGGCCAATAAACCCTGAAGTCTCCACTGCCACAGGAGTAAAAAAAAAATCTATCAGCAAGAGAAGAATATTTAACTATTTCATTTTTACTCGCCTGTCTACTATCTGCTTCTCAAAAGAGTAGTGGCGCCTGGCCTAGCGCAGTGCCCTCTTCATCTACCAGTACCCTCTTAGATGAAGAGTGCACTCAGGTCGGAGTCGCGATCCGTCTTGTGCTCAAATTATGTGAGCGTCACAGATGCAGATGAGGAGCTTCCATTGATGAGTTTGGTTTGCATCCTCTCTCCTGTAGGTCGTAGTGCAGGCCGCTTTCCAAGGCATGAAGCAATAAACGACATCATCAGAAGAGGTCTGAATGAAGCTGGGTTCCTTTCCCAAATCGAACCTGTAGGCCTCGACCATGGTGATGGAAAGCGGCCGGATCCTCTCTACTGTCGTAGTGCCGGCCGCTTTCCACGTATGCAATTATAAATTACATCATCAGAAGAGGTTTGGATGCAGCTGGGTTCCCTTCCCAAACCGAACCCGTAGGCCTCGACCGTGGTGATGGAAAGCGGCCGGATGGTATTACCATT